CCAACTTACAGATTTACCGGTTGGTAGATTAATTATTGGTAATCAGTTCCAGACTGACCTAATGACAAAGGTCATTAGTCTGTAATTAAGGGTGACCTGAAGTTGACCCTAAACTTCCTGTGAGGTGTTTTCAAAATAAAAGTAAAGTGTGATCTTCATCTCCTCTCTCCTGAAGCCTTCTTCCTCTTCGTCACTCTGGCAATCATCTCAGCCCTGCTGCTCGCCACGCTCGTCATCATGACTGTGAGACGCCGCCGGCAGTTACGCCGCTACTCCTCCGTCAGGTAAGCTTAGTGGCGCCCCCTGCTGGCCTGTGTCTGCATCACTGAGGATCATTTCTTTAGGGTGTCTGATTGAAACTCTTCCTGTCTCCCAGTGACAAGCGGGAGCTAATCACAGGCGAGATGTCGTCTCAGGACTCGCTGAACATCCCGGAGAGCCCCAAACCAGAACCAAAGGCCTGAGGGGACCGGGTCCACCGGGGCTCGGACTCAGAACTGATCCGCTCTCTCTTCTTACAGGGATTCATCAGGGTTACAAGAATGTGATCCAAGGTTGGATCAATCATCTTACAATCTGTTAATTAGCATCAGTCATAGACGACTAAAGGGGCGGAGCTTCAGTTCTAAGGCGGAGCTCACAGCGTCAATAAAAGGTTTTCTTCTCCTTGCAGCACAAGAGCTCTGGCTGATTTGTCATCGATCACCTCTATTGATCACCACTTACTGATCACTTCATTAAAGGAGCCATTTGATTCGCAGAGACGCTCCAGGTTCAAAGTTCAACCCAAATTACAGCTGGTCCTGTCCTCAGGGACCGGGCTCCTATCCAGGTCTCCTGACTAATCAGTAAAACCGATTCAACCCTGATTTTAAATTTCCAGACACAGATCAGCTCCAGGTTTCTTGTCAGAAACAAAGTAATTGATTATTACTGATCATCAATTGGGAATGATTCAGACACGTGATTATTGGCTTTTCTTTCAAAGAGAAACATTTAAACTTCCTGTCTGCAATCAAACCAGCAACCTCTCTGATGATCTGTGGTTCTGGGTAGTTCTGCCTGTATTGATCATGTCTCTGATCAATACAGGCAGAAGTTCTGGTTCTGGACTTCGTCTCCTGTGAAGCTCTGAGTGTTTCTCCAGATGTCGACACCAAACAGATTCTAACATCACTTCAGATCCCGACACAAAGTTCAGAAACAGCCAGAACTTCACAGGAGGCAATCAGAGCCATCAGAACCTGCAGAGTTCCTGATTATTGACAGATCAATACATCAGATCAATACATCAGATCAGCACCTCGTCATGTGCTGCTTGGACTGTACTGGTTCTGTTTCCTGGCTCTGCCCAGAGCAGAGCCTCTGATTGGCCGTCAGTAGGATAATGTTCCTTTAAGGTTGATGTGATTATTGATCAGTGAGCTGATCAGCTGACAGATCGGAGCTCAGGCGGTTTTAATTAAAAATTAAACTTTGATGTTTTTCATATGTAATTAAATCAATTATTCAAGGAATTGTTTTGATCATTTTCACTTAATCAATTGTTGTTAATTTATCAGTGGGGTTACAATAATTAGTTAAGTATTGGTGAATGTTTTCAGTTATAAACATTAATGAATTTTTAATAGAAGTTGTGTATGTGGGTTATTGATGATGGTAATCAAATGTGTATTGATTGATCAGGAAGTGACAGAATCAGCCTGCAGGTGGAAATCCATGCCTCTAAATTATTACTGTTACTGCTAAACTCCATTTCCCATGATGCACCTGCAGTCTAGTTCCCTCTGCAGGCTGAGATCTGAATGGCTTCTGTAAGTTTTATTGATTATTGATCAGGGAATCTGTCAAGTCTACTATTGGAATTATTTTTAAGTTTTACTTTTTAAAGATTCACTGTGATCAATAATCTGATCACTAATCTATTGATCTCAGCAGGGTCATTCTGAGTTTGAGCTACTTTTAAATACCTCTTATTAAGCCATTAGCTACTGATCAGGTTATTGATCGGCTAATTTGTAATCATTCTGTTGTGATCAATATTCTGAATGAAAAGCGGATCACTCTCAACAGAAACAATAAATAAAATGTTACCAATTCAGTCTGAAGCAGCTCCTTATTGACACCATTCCACAGAGTTACTGGTTAACAGCAGGGAAAACCCTTTCGGCCATCCAACAGATTAATGCCACCAGAGCAGAGCTTCCTCAGGATCAGATGCCAGTTTCAGTCGGAGCAAAAAAGCCACTTTTCCAGGAAAACCATCGACTGCGGACTGGAAGGACACCGGCAGGGAGGTTTTCTGATCAACCATCCTGGCTGTTTTGAAGATCTGGGAGTTGCTGAAAGTCCTGTGTGATGCCAACACCAAAACATCTGGATCCAGACCAAGTCCAGAGATGGTTCTAGTTCTGACCAAGAGAGATCTGCAATGGATGATCATCCGGAAAGCCTTAGAACAAGTTCTAACGATCCTGGAAGAACTAGGAGATTATCTATGGACTCTATCATAATGGAGCATTAGGACTCATGATAATTAAAGTGACTTAAAGTTAAGAACACAGAACCTGAGTCCAGTTCTCAAACAGCTGGGAAACTACCTGAAAGCCTGGAGTCAGTTCTAAGCAATAAGAAAAGATTGGCCACTGTTTGGTCCAGAAAAACAACAATGGTGTGTTAGGGTGAATTACAGAAGTTTGGATGAACCCTGCTAAATAGGTTGAGGAGCTGGCACAACAGGTTTTTCCTCTGTTTGCTGCATAATTGTCTGACAGATTAATCTTATCTGCATCGACTTACTGATCCCATTCTTGCGAGTCCAGTTTGGTGTTCTATACCAATGGACAACAGCAAACTACAATGGTCTTATTTTAGGACCATTAAAGTCTACATACTCTCTGTGCTTCTGATATTGTCAACACGACTGTGATTGCTACTGTTGAGAAAATAAATTTAAAATAAGCTAGTTTTAAAACTTAACATGTCTTGATTCAAATGGCCTAAATTGTGGTTTTAAATCAGTAACTTATTCTGGCTCTTTGACCTTTATTTTACCTGTAGTTACAGCAGATGGTTTGCTAGGATCGTTTGAACTGCCTTTTGTCTGTGGGAAAACAATACAGGAAGTTGTAGCTTTTCACACTGATCTGTGAAAGGCCGTAAACACGGCAGGGGTTTCTGGCTTGAGAGAGGGTCAGAGATAGCTCCTGGTTGGATGAGCAAAGATACGCCTTCTTTGAATAAATTAAAGAAAAGAAGATAAAACTTTCTACACAGAAGTAACAAATCAGATTTTGCTCTTGCAACTTCTCCAAAGATGTCTTTGCTTTTTGTTTGTCGTTTCCATCTTTTGTCTTTCTCTCTCAGGTAAATTCATGTGTTGTTTGTGCTCTGAGGTTTCTGATGTTTTGTGATGTGTTTGTCTGGTGATAGTATGCATCTGTCTTGAATAAATGCTGATTATTGTGACGCTGTTATCTCTGCGTGATCTCAGTCTTTGCGCACAGCATTTTTCTGAACCCGGGCATAGAGAGGATTTAACGAGTCAAAAGGTTTTTAAAGTTCAAGAATTTTTCCTCTCTTAACACTACACAGGAAAATGAACTTGCAGTATTTCTTTCCCTACAGGATGAAAAGAAAAATCAAGTCCAGATAACCTTTCATATTGCTACAGTGCAGTTGTTTTGCAGCCAGAGAGCAGAGACACAAAAAACCCAACGACTGCAGTGCAAACGGATCGTACTGATGTAGACTTGTACGAGTTTTTTTTTTAATCAAATACTTAAGACTGATAACGTGGCAAATTATGATTCCTATCTTTTTGTTTTACACTTTTTGTATTGTAGTACCCAGAAGTTTCCACCAGATGACAGTAAAGAGGATGACTTGAGGCAGAATGATCTCTTTGGCTTTGGTGACAACAGTCTGCAGTCCCTCTGACTGGTCCTGCAGAAACTAAATAAAACTGAATAAATCTGTTCTAAATTCTTATCAAGGGGTTTAAATATGTTTTCAATACGTCTGATACAGCGTAATATTCAACCTGCACCAGATCAAATATTTAATCAAAGACAAACATAGATTATGGAATTTAATACCAAAACCTCAAGAAGTTGGAGAAATTTAATTTATTCTTTTATGTAATTTTGATGTCAACAGTTTCTTTTCAGTTCTTTAACTTTTACAGACAGGTTTTATCACGCTGGCTTTGTTTATACAAATCCTTCACTTGAAACACAAATGCATTCAAAACATTTTCACATCTTTTCTATGAATGCATTTGTGCTAGACATTTCTGGACTAAAATTCAACACTTTAACTGTATTGTGGCATTAAAATTAAGTTGCACAATATATATTTTACGATTTTAAAAATTGTCAAAAACTCGTCCTTTTTATTCTATTTGGCAAATATTATATTCATAGGAGAAGTCATGCGGATAAACTAACATTTTATATATCAAGAAATTTTAAAGTCTAAAAATGTCTATTTATGGATTTGGATTGCAACAAGTCGGGACGAGGAAGTCGGTGTGCTTGACGCTTTCTGACGTCATCACGCTGCGCCTCTCCCGGAAGTCTCGGTCGGAGCCAAAATGGCGCAGCAGCGGCAGCTGTTGGTTTTGGTTTTGATTCGGGAAATAAACGTTAAACGACTAGTACCGTGATTGGACCGCAGTGACGTGACCGGGGAGATCACAGGGACCCCAGCCTCGAGTCAGGACGCGCGTGCACCCGTGAGTGTCACAGTTGTTCCTTTCGGAGCGCGCGGAGCTCAGTAGCTAGCAAGATGCTAACGTGTTGAGTCACTGTGATTCACCCACAATTGACTTTGATTTAACTGGGAATCTATCGGAAATCAGGTCCGAACCGAGCTGCGGTTCTGCTGTTGTTTCTACCTGACCGGAACAAACCGGTTCGGCCCACCTGACTCTACCAACAGCGCGTTAGACGCTGATTACAGGTAACCTGCTACTGGTTCTGGTTCTGTTTTGGTTTCCGCTGGTCACTTGAGTTCCACCTGATTAACACGTGTTCCTTCCGTTGTAAACATGTTTATGTGAATCTTTTAATGAGCACAGAACCTCTCGGCCTCCGTAGTTTCCACTCAGGAACATTGATCTAAGTTTCTGTTTGGATAATTGATCAATAATCAGCTCTGGAGCAGGTTTGATATCCGGACCGCGGCTATCTAGTTAAATCCTGGTCCAGTTCAGGATCATTAACCGATCTGATTATGTTGTCATGGTAACCTGATTGCATCAGGGATGAAACAGCTGATTCATGAGCAGAGAGGTGGATGTGTGGACAGAGGGCTCACTCTATCCTCAGGAGAGAAACTGGTTTCTACTGCAGGTTTAAATGGATCAGAACCGGGTTCTGTTGCTACAAACAGAATACGGTTCTGATTCTGATCCAGATAGAGCTGTCTGCTCGTGCTTCTGTCTGTCCTGGTGTGTCTCTGTGTCTCCGTCCCGCTGACTGCTGCCGCTCTTCCAGGTGGTGATGGCGGAGCGGCGGGCCGACTGCAGCTGGAAGAGACACATCTCAGACCAGCTGAAGCTCAGGGACAGAGTTCAGAGACACACCTTCGAGGAGATCGTCCAGCAGTGTGAGTCAGGACACTCTGAGGACACACTGTGTCCCACTCTGAGGATGGAGTGAGGGGTTAAAGCTGTTTGTCTTTCAGACAATCGTCTCTTGGAGAAGTCTGACCTGCAGGCCGTCCTCACTGAGAGATACCAGACAGAGAAGTATGACGTTCAGAGAGGACATGAGGCCAGGTGAGACACCCTGGAGCTGAGTCCAGCCTGAGACATCCGGTCTTCTAAACGTTGTTTCTGTTTCCTGTTTTTCTTTTGTCCTCATCATTTCTTGTTTGTCCTCATCCTCTGTCCCCATGTTTCCTCTCTGTCTCTGTCCCCCGTCCCTGTCCAGCTCCCTGGACGCATCGCGCAGCGACTCTTTGCACCAGGAAATGTCCCAGATGAGGATTCGCCACCAGGAGGAGCTGACCGAGCTGCACAAGAAACGAGGCGAGGTGAGTCACAGGAAGTGATGTCGCCTGTCCTCGTCCTGAGTGTCCGTGTGGCATTCAGGAGCTGTGGGGCGTCCCTGCTCCTCTGCAGGTGTTTCTGGTCCATCAGGGTCTCTGTTGGAGACGGCGCCCCCCTCAGGCTGCTGCAGGCGCTGCAGCTCTCAGCTCCAGTTTACTTCCAATAAAGCCGTCACTGGAAACCAGTTCAGGTTCTCACTTCCCCTCACGCAGCAGCGTCTATTCTCCTTTCTGCTGCGCCTGTAGCAGCGGCCATGCTGGGCGGAGTCAGTCTGTCCCTTCAGGACACACCTGTAGCTGGATGCTCGGGGTCAAGTGTTTAAAACAGGAAGTGCTTCTGAAAGTGGGCGGAGTCAGTAACCTTCCTGTGTCCTGCAGCTGGCTCAGACTGTGATCGAACTCAACAACCAAATCCAGCAAAAGGATCGAGAGATCCAGAGCAACGAGGCCAGGTGAGTCTTTCTCACTCACACACACACACACACACACACACACACACACACACTGATGAGTCTGATCACCTGCAGCAGCTGATTGGTTCTCCCCTTCCAGGATGTTGGAATACCAGCAGCAGATCGCCAGCCTGGAGGGAGACTGCCGGGATCTAAGGAACAGCCTGCAGGTACAACTCCATGAAGATGATTAATCTGTTGATGAAGAATCTCCAGTAGCAGTCAGTATTGCAACATATTTCAAGACGCTTCTGACTAAAGACTGTCACGACATGTTAAAAGCTCAACATCCAGGCAGTGATGATATTCCACATCAACACTTCCTGGATGACATCATCATATGTCAGCTAGCGCTGCTAACCCACCTGTTTTGCCTCTCCCCTTTAAAGGGATCCATAATTAGCCGTAGCAATAAATTCAATTTCATAAATATTTATTTCAGATGTAAAAGTACTGTAGAGTGTTCAGGTTTTATAAATTTAAATAAAATGTTGGCGTTAGCTCCTGCTGTCACTAATATTGTAAACATGTCTAAAGCTGATCATATTAGTTTTTCAACAAATTCATCCTCATTCTCTCTCTGCTCTTCGTCCATTAAGCCTCTTTTTTAACTCCTCTGTGATTCGAGGTCAAAGGTCAGTTGTTTGTGCTTCCGAGATGCTAATCAGAAGCTCCAAGTTGTAAAATCGACACCTTAAGTCGTATTGGTTTGTATCTTCCTCGTGTGGGTACAGAAGAGAAGTTTCATCTCCAGAAGCTGCGATTATGTGAAGGAAGTGGTTGCAAAATAAAAGCCCAAATTTCAAATTAAGCCCCGCCCACCTGCTGAAGGTCAGTGATGAGCTGTAAAAGGTCTGATTCCCACAATCCTCTGCTGCCTCCGGCTCCCAGCAGCTCGCTCTCTGCTCCCATCATGCTCTAGCCATGCAGCCATGGGCCCAGCAGCTGCTGACACACAGGATGTGACATCACACAGGGTGTGACATCACTGAGAGGCTGAGCTGAGAACCTGCAGCCTCACTGTGATGTTGATCCAACATGACCAATCAGGAAGGAGCATCAGGAGGAAGAGGAGGAAGAGGGAGCTGATCTCAAGTTTTCAAGCTGAGACCTTCTTCACTGAGACAGCGACGGCTTTATGACTTCACCACCCGACCATGTGACCGCGGTAACTTCCTGTTTCTGTGCAGGAGCTGGAAATGGCCAATCAGACGCTGAAGGACGAGTACGACGCGCTGCAGATCACCTTCTCCGCCCTGGAGGAGAAGCTGAGGAAGACGTCGGAGGACAACCAGGAGCTGGTGTCCCGCTGGATGGCCGAGAAGGCCCTGGAGGCCAACCGGCTCAACGCCGAGAACGAGAAGGACACCAGGTGGGCGGGGCGTCAGCGGGTGGAGGGGCGGGGCCTTTGAGCGCTGATGTGACGGCGGCTGTTTGTGTTCCAGGCGTCGACAGGCCAAACTGCAGAAGGACCTGGCGGACGCCGCCAAGGAGCCGCTGCCCATCGAACAGTCAGTGACCTCCACTTCGTGTCTGAGTAGACCCTGATCTGGTCCAGGTCGGGTTCTGGTGATGAACCCGGGTCTGTGTTTCCCCCGCAGGGACGACGACATCGAGGTGCTGGCTGAGGACGGAGGGAAGGGAGCCGGAGAAACGTCACCAAACCGACCAATCAGCAGGACGGCGAGGTGAGATTCAAGCATTCTACGGCTCCCACGTCACAAACATTAGGGGATAGGGCTGCGCCTGTTAGCGCCTGTTAGCCCCTGTAGCTAGCCCCTGTAGCTAGCCGCTGTAGCTAGCTGCTGTAGGCGCCATTACTGTGCATGAAGTCGTATCCACTAAACCAGACTGTTCTGACGTATGATTAGGCCTGTCACAATAACAAATTTTGCTGAGCGATTAATTGTCTAAAAATTATTGCGATAAATGATAATATTGTCTCAAGACAAATAAGACAAACAAATAAGACAATTGGTCCAGGTTTTATTTTTATATTGAACTTTTAGAAATGCAGTGCGCCACAGCAAAGGTAATAAATAAACAAATCAAAACCACTAAAATTCTTCTTTTTTTTTTACACTCCACACGCAAAATCATTGCCATGGCAACCGGCTCACAACAGCTCCGGCAGAGCAGAAACACGCAGCCGTTTCCCACATCACCTGAACGGTTCCATGATTTCAGATTTATTGTGATTATTATTAATAAGTGATCGTCTGAACGTTTGCGCCGTTGGTCGATTAGCTAGTGATCATCAACCAGTGGAAACACAAATCAGCGCCCCCTGGTGGCGAATCGTAAACCTGACAGGTAAACAAACATGGCAGCTCCTGGCTGACGGTTCTGGTTCTGTTTGTGTTCAGCAGGAAAACGTCCCAGCAGCCTCAGGGCGGGCTCCTCGACTCCATCTCCAACATCTTTGGGTAGGTCCCAGTCAGCGTAGCTCTAGCTGGTCTGAGCATGCTCGGTTGATGACGCTGTGCCTCTGCTCCTCAGCAGGCGTCGGTCGGCGAACTCCTTCAGCACGTCTCCGGAAACCACCGAGCCGCCGTCGGGAGGCTGCGCGGAGGTCCGGGTGCCGACCACGGCGCTGCACGTCTTTGTGAGTTTCTTCCACCGCCGTCAGGAACCAATCAGATGGCCAGACTTCCTCTCTGGAAGTTCTGGTTCTGATCAACCTGATGGTCACTGAGGCAACAAAAAGCAAACATAAAAAGCATCAAGTCCTCATCAACAGCCTGTCCGCCCCAGCTGGTGCTCCCCAAGGCTGTGTGCTCGGGCCTGTCCTCTATGGCAAGCTGTTTTAACATAAAATCGTCTTCACCACATTTATATTCAGATATTTGAAATTGGTTCATGACTAGACACTTTTCAGTTGGCTAAGATATCTCTAATTACATCCTGACCTCAGATTTACCAAAGCTTTAGATATCTACAACTAATTACCATCTGGAATATTTTTT